GTGGATCGGGTGGCAGACCGAGGCGGGGGCCTGGGCGGTCCGATCCCCGGACAAGGAAACTGGTTATTGGGACATGGAGCGTCACCTCGCTGGCAGGGAAGGAGCAGGAGCTTGTGGCAGAGGTTGAGCGGTACCGGCTAGATATAGTCGGACTCACCTCAACACATAGCATTGGCTCTGGAACTCAAGTCCTTGAGAGGGGTTGGACACTCTCCTTTGCTGGAGTTGCTCTGGGTGAGAGGCGGAGGGCTGGGGTTGACTTTTTGTTAGCCCCGAGACTCTCTGCCTGTGTGTCGGGGTTTACCCCGGGGGACGAGAGGGTAGCTTCCCTGCGCCTTCGGGTCGGGGAACGGGTCCTGACTGTTGTTTGTGCTTATGCTCCAAATATAAGTTCAGATAACCCAACCTTTTTGGAGTCCCTGGGATGTGTGCTAGATAGTGCTCTATCAGGGGACTCCATTGTCCTGCTGGGGAACTTCAGTGCTCACATGGGCAATGACAGCATGACCTGGAGGGGTGTGATTGGGAGGAACGGGCTGCCTGATCTGAACTCGAGTGGTGTTTCGTTATTGGACTTCTGTGCGAGCCGCAGTTTGGCCATAACGAACACCATGTTCGAACATAAGGATGCCCATCGGCACACTTGGTACCAGGGCAGTCTAGGTCGCAGGTCGATGATAGACTTTGTAGTCGTGCCATCTGACCTGCGGCCATATGTTTTGGACACCCGAGTGAAGAGAGGAGCGGAGCTGTCAACTGATCACAACCTGGTGGTGAGTTGGATCAGATGGCAGGGGAAGATGCCGCATAGACCTGGCAGACCCAAATGCATAGTGAGGGTCTGCTGGGAACGCTTGGCAGAAGAACCTGCCAAGATGGTCTTCAGCTCCCACCTCCGGCAGAGCTTTGACCACAGCCCAAGTGCAGTGGGGGACATTGACTCCGAGTGGGCCTTGTTCCACTCTGCGATTATTGAGGCGGCTGTTGCTAGCTGTGGTCGCAAGGTGGCCGGTGCCAGTCATGGTGGCAACCCCCTTACCCGCTGGTGGACACCAAAGGTTCGGGGAGCCGTCAGGCTGAAGAAGGAGACCTACAGGGCGTGGCTGGTCTGTGGGTCTCCGGAGGCAGCAGACGGGTACCGGATAGCCAAGCGGGGTGCAGCAGTGGCAGTTGCCGAGGCAAAATCTCGGGCGTGGGAGGAGTTTGGTGAGGCCATGGAGAAAAACTCTCGATCTGAACCAAAGAGGTTCTGGCAAACTGTCCGGCGCCTCACGAGAGGGAGGCAGCAACTCGCTCACACTGTTTACAGTGGGGATGGGGAGCTGCTGACGTCAACTGGGGCTATAGTCGGGCGGTGGAAGGAATACTTTGAGGAGCTCCTCAATCCCACCTACGTACATTCCGAGGAGGAGCCAGAGCCGGGAGACCTGGAGATGGACTGTCCAATCTCTGGGGCAGAAGTTGCTGAGGTGGTCAAACAACCACACAACGGCGGAGCCCCGGGGGCGGATGAGATTCGTCCTGGGTATCTCAAGGCTATGGATGTGGTAGGGCTGTTGTGGTTGACACGTCTCTGCAACATTGCATGGTCATCGGGGGCAGTTCCTGTGCAGTGGCAGACCGGGGTGGTGGTCCCCATTTTTTAGAAGGGTGACCGGAGGGTGTGTTCCAACTATAGGGGGATCACACTCCTCAGCCTCCCTGAAAAGGTCTACTCCAAGGGACTGGAGAGGAGGGTCCGATCGATAGTTGAATCTCAGATTGAGGAGGAGCAATGTGGTTTTCGTTCTGGCCGTGGAACTGTGGACTTGCATGGGTGATGGAGGGGGCATGGGAGTTTGCCTAACCAATCCACATGTGTTTTGTGGATTTGGAGAAGGCTTATGACCATGTCCCCAGGGGCACCCTGTGGGGGACGCTCCAGGAGTATGGGGTGGGTGGCCTTTTGTTAAGGGCCATTCAGTCCCTTTACCTTAGGAGCGTGAGTTTGGTCCGCATAGCGGGTAGTAAGTCGGACTTGTTCCCGGTGAGGGTTGGACTTCGCCAGGGCTGCCCTTTGTCACCAGTTCTGTTCATAACCTTTACGGACAGAATTTCTAAGCGCAGTCGTGGTGTGGAGTGTGTCAAGTTTGGTGGCAGGAGAATCTCGTCCCTGCTTTTTGCGGATGATGTGGTCCTCCTAGCTTCATCCAGCTCTGACTTTCAGCTCTTGCTGGGTAGGTTTGCGGCCGAGTGTGAAGCGGCTGGGATGAGGATCAGCACCTCCAAATCTGAGACCATGGTTCTCGACCGGGAAAGGGTGGCTTGCCAACTCTCTTGTTCACGAGTGAGGGTGGGAGGGATCGGGAGATCGACAGGTAGATTGGTTTGATGTCTGCAGTGATGCGGACGCTGAGCCTATCTGTCGTGGTGAAGAGGGAGCTGAGCCAGAAAGCCAGGCTCTTGATTTACCGGTCGATCTACGTCCCAATCCTCACCTATGGTCATGACCTTTGGGTAATGACCGAAAGAAGGAGATTGCAAATACAAGCAGTCGAAATGAGTTTCCTCCATAGGGTGGCCGAGCTCAGCCTTAGAGATAGGGTGAGGAGCTCGGACATTCGGGAGGGACTCGGAGTAGAACCTCTGCTCCTCGGGATCGAAAGGAGTCAGTTGAGGTGGTTTGGGCATCTGGTCAGGATGCCTCCTGGACGCCTCCCTGGGGAGGTGTTTCGGGCATGTCCCGCCGGCAGGAGACCCCCGGGTCGACCCAGGACACGTTGGAGAGGTTATATCTCCAATCTGGTCCGGGAATGCCTTGGGGTCCTGCCGGAGGAACTGGAGGTGGCTGGGGAGAGGACGGTCTGGAGCTCCCTAGTTGGGATGCTGCCCCCGCGACCCGGATAAGTGGAGGAAGACGAAGGGCAATTCAAAATCCCACCAAATTATCACACAAAATGGCTCTAATTTGGTCACTTTCATACAGTGGGGAGAGCAATCAGCATTCTTATCAGTAGGGCCTTTTCTATTGACAAAAACTTTCCACCACATGTCAGTGTCACCTCAAGTATTTAATTCATGCAGACATCTAAACTTTTCAGTTCATAAATTGAGTTATGTGTAATAAAGTAAAAAAATTAAGGAAAAGGTACATGAGGAAAACAAGGTGCAGAATGGTAAAGAAAGCCAGGAGATCACATGAAACATACCAGTATTGATATCAGCTGCTTTAGTCCTAATTGAAGGCCTATAAAGGCATCTCATGACCCAGGATGCACACAGAAAAGACTTCATGATGGGTAAAAGCAAATAACTCTCCAAGAGCTTTCTTATTAAAAACATTTTGATGGGAATGTTTTGTGCATTTCCAAAATGCTGAATGTTCCTGTGAGCACTCTAACAATGGAAAGAGCATCAGTTCTCCATAAACCAGCCACGACCAGGTGCTCCACATAAGATTCCTGTTCAAGGAGTCCAAAGAATAATCAGAGATCTCCAAGAGCCAAGAACTACTCATGCAGAACTCCAGGAAGACCTTGCATCGGCAAATACTGTTTTTTCAAAGAAAATTATAAGCAATGCACTGAACCACCATGGCATCCATGCACGCTTACCACGCAAAATTCCATTGGTGAACAAAAAGCATGTTGAGGCCTGGTCAAAGTTTGCAAAACAGCATTTGAAGAAAGCCCGTGGACATTCTGAGAGATTATAGTATGGTCAGACGAAACCAACATTAAAGTTAGAATTTGGAACATTTTAATAAAAAAGCTATATTTAAAATAACATAATACCTCCAGGGGGCATTCAGGTGTGAGCAGAATAAATGTACAGTTTCTCCTTTAAAGGTATTATTTAAAAAGATAAATAATCAAATTTTTATTCTGTCAGGCCTGACACTGTGCTTTTGTTTATATCTAACGTCCACTAGAGGGCACCATTGCGCTAAAAAGTCTGGTCAGCAAGGCAAGATTTGGACTGTGAAAAATGGCAGACTTGACAAGTCAAGCAACTGATTCTGAGCCCACAAGATGTTCTAATGGTAAATACTGTTGTTAAATAAACGTATTAGTAGGAATGAGTCCTTATCCTCTACGATTTGTCTCTGAACTGTCATTCTACACACCATGTTTGGAGAAGAAATGGCACTTCCCACCACCCCAAGAACACCATACCAACAGTAAGTTTGGGGGTGGAAGCATCATGGTGTGGGGCTGCTTTTCAGCAAAGGGTGCTGGCAGACTTCATATTACTGAAGGCAGGATGAATGGAGTAATTTACTGGGACATTCTAGATAAAAAATATGTTGCCATCTACCAGAAAGCTGAAAATGAAAAGAGGGTAGAAAGAAAATCAAGTTTCTTAATTGGCCCAGTCAATCACCTACATTCCATATAAAATGCATGGCGAGAACTGAAGATCAAAGTTCATAAAAGAAGCCCAAAGAAACTTCAAGAAGCATTTAACAAGCTGTGTGTAAGAATGGGCCTGAATAACTGTTGAGCAATGCAGACGACTGGTCTCTCCATACAAGAGGCATCTAGAAGCTGTAATCACCAACAAAGACTTTTCTACCAAGTACTAAATAAAATATGTTCGATACTTATTCCCTGTGTCGTTTCACTATTTATTATGACACAAATCATATTTAAAGGCTCATAGTGTCAGGCGTGCTGGTGAGTGAAGCGGAGGTGAGGATCCACACGCGGGTGAAGAAGGCAGGCAGGCAGACACGAACGATTAAAGGCTTTAATAATAAACACGCTGACACTGAAACAATGAACAGACAAAAGACACAGAACTGAGAGGGTTTAAATACATGAGGGCTGGGAGCTTGGGTGATTGGAAAACGAGAGACAGGTGGGAGCAATTAACAGATACACTTGACTGAACAGAATGGGGAGACAGGACAAGGTGTGACAGTACCCCCTCCTCAAAGGGCGGATTCCAGACGCCCACAGGAACACAGAGCAGGGCGGGAGGAGGGGGGCCGAGAGGAACCGAGGGAGCGGTGGAGAAGAGGCAGGGACCAGTAGAGTCCGGGGGCCTGCGTTTGGTGCAGAGGAGGAGACGGCGACGGGCTCTGGGGGGCCTGCGTCTGGGGCAGAGGAGGAGACGACGACGGGCTCTGGGGGGCCTGCATCTGGGGCAGAGGAGGAGACGACGACGGGCTCTGGGGGGGCCTGCGTCTGGGGCAGAGGAGGAGACGACGACGGGCTCTGGGGGGCCTGCGTCTGGGGCAGAGGAGGAGACGATGATGGGCTCTGGGGGGCCTGCGTCTGGGGCAGAGGAGGACACGATGATGGGCTCTGGGGGGCCTGCGTCTGGGGGAGAGGAGGAGACGACGACGGGCTCTGGGGGGCCTGCGTCTGGGGCAGAGGAGGCGACGACGACAGGCTCTGGGAGGTTTGCGCCTGGCGAGGGCAGGACCGGCGGTGACCGGAGGCTGAGACGCTGGAGGAGACGTGGTCGACTTCTGGACTGGAGGAGACGTGGTCGACTTCTGGACTGGAGGAGGAGACGTCGACTTCTGGACTGGAGGAGACGTCAACTTCTGGACTGGAGGCGTCGACCTCTGGACACGAGGAGGCGTCGACCTCTGGACACGAGGAGGCGTAGACCTCTGGACACGAGGAGGCGTCGACTTCAGGACACGAGGAGGCAGGGGCGTCGGACTGGGGGGGGAAAGGGTACCGTTTACCCAGGGCCCACTGCAGGGAGGGGCCCTGAGACAGCTTTGAATAAAAATGTTTTATTGTTGTTGTTTTTTTCCCCCAACTTACTTAATGTCTTAATAAATTTCCCTTTACCTGGATAAAGAGGTTAAGAAACAGAATTTCGCCTTAAAAATAATAACTGAATAATCTCTGAGGCATCTATCACCCCTTAAAAATGTGCAAAGTGGTTTAGTCCACACCAGCGGCCAGGGGCTGCCCGGCTGCATGTGCTAATGAGACATCGCAGATGCCGACAGCCAGAGCTGGAGGCAGGAGAGTCAGTCATGTCTTTTCCCAAGAAAGGGAAATCTGGCTTCCAGAAAAGAAAAGAAAAGAAAAGAAGGAGAAGGAGGAAAAGTTAATTGAACAGAAGCAAGTAGAAGGAAGGTGAGCAGCAGCAGCAGAACACAGTTTTAGCTGATATTAGCTAGCTCTCAGAAGCTGCATTCATGTTAGGTGTTCAGTGTTAAACACCTTTAGTTTCACCATCAAGATCAAATATAAATTAATTAGTGTTATCAGTGAAAACACTAATTTTAGGGATAAGCCGGATACTCATTTCAGACGAGTATCCGGTACGGATAACGCATTTTTGATGAATACGAGCATGAAACTAGTAAAACGAGTCATTCTCTGTAATCGTGCTGAAGGAAAATCTTCATTGGGTAACTGACTGTCTTCACGCTCTGTGATTGGCCAGTCACATAGAGCGCCCGCCCCTCCCTACTTACAAAACTCTCTAGCCGACCGGGAGCTCAGTCCGGCCGGCTCATCCACGCACACACACAGACAGTAACGGATCGCGCTGTGATGGCTTCACTGTTGCTCACGTTTCTTCAGTTTTCCCTAGGTTTTCTTCAGCTCGCCTCTTTTTCGGTTGAATATTTAAAGTTACTTTTTTCGTAACTGACATGGTGCATTTGACAAGACAGAGCTGACGTGCTGTTGTCACTACCTCCGCTCCGGTGGGGTTTTTAATTTTCTCTCTCTCTCTCTCTCTCTCTCTCTCTCTCTCTCTCTCTCTCTCTCTCTCTCTCTCTCTCTCTCTCTCTCTCTCTCTCTCTCTCTCACACACACACACTCACACACACTCACACACACACATTAATCAACATTTCTTTGTTAAACTTTGTGTGGGAAAATGCCAAGAACGTTAAGAAAAAAAATCAGTTTAATCAAATTAAAATAAAAAAATATATAAAGTTGTGTCTGGTTCTAGCATTTCATATTTCCTAGTTCCTACTGCATGGGTTCAGATGTATTAATCCATGCACTCAAATATTAATGTTCTGATTTTATTGAAACACTTTTTCTGTAATAGTTTCTTTACTATTGTGATCAAAAATATTTAATCTCACTTCTGAGGCTGCTCTGTAAATAGTTTTCAAATAAACAATACACATAGCAACTTCTGATCAATCCATATAAATTTCAGACTTAAAATAATACATTGATGTAAACCATGTCCACTTCCGGTTAAACCACGCCCACTTCCGGGTTATGCCACGCCCATTCCAAGTACAGATACAGATAGTGGTGTACTCGCTCATCCCTAATATATATATGTATATATATATATATATATATATATATATATATATATATATATATATATATATATTAAAATCAGAATTATTATCGCGGGCGGCCGCCGCCAATTAATTCGCGGACCTCGCAGTAAAAACAGGTTCACTCTGTGTGGATATTTCAGCTCCTTCCCAGTCATGGACCAGGACAAACTTGGTATCGATGGATTCGTGGTAATCTCAGGAATGAGAAGCTGCCACTGTTTTTCGTATAGCATGACGACACTGGTGTTAGAGGATTGTTATTGACTTGGTTAGATATTTTAAGCCTATTTTAAATTTCTTTATATTTGATCTTGAAAACGGACAATCTTATAATTTGGCTGATAATGCAGGGATTATAAAATTTAGAGTGCATTACATTCACAGAGAGAACCTGGTTTATTTCATGTCATATGTATTTAATATATCAATACATATAAGTATTAGCAAAGCTTAACATCATGAACCATGACAGACATGACTGAAGAGCAGATGAAGACATCATGCCAGGCACTGATGAGAAAATATTACAAGGATCTCACAGCTGAATTTGAGAATGAGATGCTACACCTGAGAACAATATATGGTGCCACATTTCCACACATTCGGTCTCCTCTTGAGCTGCTTAATGCCATACAGGATGCAATTACAGAGCATTTTTGGAGAAGTTTGTATTGGACTGAGGATATTTTGCACACTGCCTGTGACTGTTGCTGGGGGTGAACGGGCTTTTAGCAAACTGAAACTGGTGAAAAATTATTTGAGATCAACAATGTCCCAGGATAGACTGAACAGCCTAGTTCTTTTTTCTATTGAAAGCCAATTAGCCAAAGGATTGGACTTTAAAGATCTCATAAGTGATTTTGCTAACATGAAGACCTGTCAGTGGGCATTTACAGGAAAATAAATTCCAGGATTTTTGTTTGAACACATTGTTGGCAAATAAAAATAATTATATGTGAAGTCTTGGCATTTCACTTTTATTATGCTGGCATTTGTATTTGCTCAATATAGAGGTTAAACTAAGATCATATTTATTATCTTGTCTTATAGCATGACAAAAAATGTGTCAGAGAGATATTAAGTAATTGAGCATGGGGGCCCACCTAGAAGACTTGTACCTAGGGCCCAGAATTTGGTGCTACGCCCCTGCGAGGAGGTGTCGACTTCAGGACACGAGGAGGCGTTGACTTCAGGACACGAGGAGGCGTCGACTTCAGGACAGGAGGCACCGACTTCAGGACAGGAGGTATCGACTTCTGTCGACTTCTGGTCCGGAGGCGAACGTGATCTCCAGCTTTTGCTGGAGCAGTTCACAGCCGAGTGTGAAGCAGTTGGGATGAGAATCAGCTACTCTAAATCCGAGACCATGGTCTAGAATCGAAAAAGGGTTGAGTGCCTTCACCAGGTCAAGGAGGAGGAACTGCCTCAACTGTAGGAGTTTAAAGGTGCATTATGTAGAAATTAGGTAAAAATGCCATCCTGTGGTAAAATTTGGTTCCTGCAACAACTCTGGAGCTTTTTACCAGCTGTCGTCAGATTACAATCATCTACGCTGCAGTATTAGCTTGCAGGAGACACGATAAGCCAAACTCACTGATGGTAAACAGTAGTTACGTCCCTCCTTCCATGGTTTTAAAAGGAGAAAAACTAACAATCCTCACAACCAGCTGGATATGAAATATGTTTCAGTATAACCTTCCTTCCAAAAAGACTAACAATAGACTATTTTGGGATTTTGTCACTGTAAAAATTTCAACATATTCTAACATAGTGCACCTTTAAGTATCTTGGAGTCTTGTTCACGTGTGAGGGAAAGACGAAGTGAGAAAGTGATAAGCGGATTGGTGCTGCATCTACCGTGATTAAGGCGTTGTACTGATTTGTCATGGTGAAGAGAGCTGAACCGGAAGGCAAAGCTCTCAATTTACTGGTACATTCCAATCATCATCTTTGGTCACATGCTTTGGGTAGTGACCAATCGAATAAGACTGTGGATACAAGCGGCCGAAATTAGTTTTCTCTGCAGGGCGTCTGGGCTCTCCCTTAAGCTGGGCGGACACTATGCGACTTTTTCACTTGTAGCACTCAGCATCAGCTCAAACTGTACGACTTCCTCACAGGGCAGATCTCAAGAGTCATGTGCTCACACTGTACGACCCAGTTCTTGGATGCGACCTGACTGCTCACACTGTACGTCTGGCAGCAACACATCGGACCTAAAAATATGCTAAAAATAGCAGTTTTTGCACAACACGTCAGACTTTTTTGACTTGCCTGTTGTCCTTCGGGAGTGCAGCAGGAGGACACACAGGAATTTATGGGGGTTGGATGAGGAAAATGAAATAAAGAAAGTAAATCTGTGTTTTGTGATCAGTTTAATTTGACAAGAACACGACAAACACGCTTTCTTGACAATCTTTGTGAGTAAAAAAACGTGTAGAAATAAAAACGAACAACGTGTGTTATTAGGGAAATAGCGGGCAAGCGGTGTTGATGCATGATTGCGCATGCGCCGTGAGCGGTTCTGATACTTCTTAGGTCGCAGCTGCTCGCAGCACCGCTTCAACAGTGCGATACCCTCACGAGGAACGAGCAAAATATCAAACACGCCAGAAGTCCGTGCAAGCTCACGACTGCTGATTGGTAGCTGGTCACGTGGTGTTAACTGCCTCTCGTAACCCCCTGTATACTACACGACGCTCAGCGCAAAACTCGCCCCTATCTTGTGGATTCTCGCACGAGTAGAAAATCGGCTCAAAAAAGTGAAAAAGTCGCACAGTGTACGCCCGGCTTTAGATGCCACGATACGTCTAGTTATCAAAGTTTTAAACACACCATCAACTCCCAAAATTGTTGATATTACAATTAATACCTTTTTTTGTTGTCCCAGGGCTAATGTTGTGGTTCTCCATTGCCAGGATAAAACTCTTAGCCTGGCATGCCATCCTATTTATGTGAAAATATATATAGTCTAGCCGCAACCCATAGAGATAACTCAGTCAAGGGAGGAAATCTAAAGTTGTCTTTCAAGTGGTCACCACCTGCTATTGGACAATTAACCACTTGATATACTCAACGCGACAGATGTCAGTCCAAATACATATTTTTCTAAATAAAGGACTTAAGTACCTCTATCTGCTCTTGACTCAAAGAAAAGAACAGGTCTGAATAGTCCAAAGTTGATGTCAAAGCCAATTCAAACAAGCCAACCTAGGGCTGGGCAATAAATCGAAAATTTATTGTTATCAAAATTTTTGACTCTTATTGAGATAACGTTTCCCATGTCAATAAATTTGATAATAAATGAAAAGATGTGTGTTGGTTGGCAACGTTCATGTCCTTTTAAGAAGCTGTACCACCTTGAGTCAGATAAATATGTGATTTAACGTAATACATGTGGCAGCCCCATCTAGTGGACAACTTATGTTTACATTCCTGTATTTCTTGTTCATTTATCGTCATCAGGGTGAAATCCTCAATATATCGTGATATTGATTTTAGGCCATAGCACCCAGCCCTAAGCCATTGGTATGTTAGTTGTTCTGCTGCGTTGCGTCACCCCGCCTACCAGACCGAAAGATCGCCATTGGCAAGGCATGAGACTGTTCGGGCCTGCTGACGCTCCAACTGAGCATGGCTAGACCGACATGCAGAGCAAAATCATTTCACTTTGGCTACTGTCTGTCTAGATTTCTTGGCTAAAAAACCCTTTGTACATGCTGACTATTTCTCTACTCAAAAGATACAGGGAGCTGATCAGATATTCAGTCAGCAGTAAAGACATGTTTACATAGTTATAAATCATAACCTATTTATTCATTTTGTAGTTTTAACAAAAAATAAAAAATAAAGATTTTTTTGTATCTGATTCAAAAACTAATGAAAAACAATCACCTTCATAATGTCAGTTTGTTGTTATAAATAAAGATAAAATGCAGGGTACGTGGATTTCAGATACATAATATGCAAGCCGACAAGAAAACAAGCAGCTCAATGTCCCCAAGCTAATGCATGTGGCAAAAAAACATAACATCAATTTGAAAATGTGGCAAGGTGGAGAAACGAGGTCCCGGGCGGGATTCGATCCCAGAATCCTGGGTGAGAGTCACGCGTGCCCTGGCTACTTGGCCAAGGGGATGTCCCTTTGGCTGACCGGTTAGTGAGTGACTCTCACCCAGGAATCTAGGGATCAATCCCACCCGGGCCCTCGTTTATCCACCTTGGCACAAAAACAACAAACAGCATGTCACCTGTACATTTACAAATGCTTTCGGAAGTTGTGGTTATATTGGTCCAGTAATCTGACCTAATATAACAAGCTAATATTAGCATAGGTTACCTGCTAATTCCTACAATAGTAATATATCTTCATTTTCTACATAAAAAGTGAGTTAAAATTGGACGTTGTACTCAAGTCTTGGCCTGTAGGACCTAGTGACTTGGACTCAAACACTGAGGACTTGAGTGTGACTGGGACTCTAGAAATGGTGAGTTGACCACTACACCATTATCAAAATATTGGTAGCAAAACATTGTTATGAATAAACTCTCAAGTGTGACTTCTTATACGAAGACCTAAAGCTGATGACTTTCTGAATCTCCTTCCACAGATCAAACATGAAAAGGCCTCTTCCCTGTGTGAGTTCTCATGTGTTTAGTCAAGTTTTCACTCTGAGAGAAACATTTACCACAAGTTTCACATTGCAAATGGCTTCTCACCTGTGTGAGTTCTCATGTGATGAGTCAAGATAATATTCTGAGAGAAAAGTTCACCACAATTTTCACATGAATATGGCTTCTCACCTGTGTGAGTTTGCACCATTATCAAAATATTGGTAGCAAAAAATTATGAATAAACTCTCAAGTGTGACTTCTTATATGAAGACCTAAAGCTGATGACTTTCTGAATCTCCTTCCACAGATGTAACATGGAAAAGGCTTCTCCCCTGTGTGAGTTTTCATGTGCTTAGTCAAGTTACTCTTCTGAGAGAAACATTTACCACATTTTTTACATGAATATGGCTTCTCACCTGTGTGAGTTCTCATGTGCTTAGTTAAGTTACTCTTCTGAGAGAAACGTTTACCACAAGTTACACATGGAAATGGCTTCTCACCTGTGTGTGTTCTCATGTGATGAATAAAAATACTATTGTGACGGAAAGATTTTCCACATATTTTACATAAAAATGGCTTCTTGTGATCGTCAAAACTTTCTCCGTGCCCTTCGGTTTGTTTACGTATGTTATTTTGCTTTGATTCTTCATGTCTGTCTATTTCTGAGTTTTTATTCTTACATAAATCTTGGTTCTCAGGTTCAGGAGAAATCTGACAAATGGGTTGGTTACTGTTTGTTTCTGATTTACAGCAGTCTGTTTCTTCAGAGGCAGAATTCACCATGAAGGTAACATTTTCCTGCTTCAGAGCGATCTGTTCTTCTTGACGACTGATACAGAGTTCCTGCTGTTCCTCTTTCAACCGTGGATATTCTGGTTCCTCCTGGTCCAAACTGAAGGTCATTTCCTGGTTACTGAGGTGCTGGTCAGTCAGAATCTCCTCCTTTTTCCAGACATGATGCTGTGGGAGTTCTGGACAGGCTAAATAAAAGAACATTTATATTAATGTGACATTTAAAAAGATTTCATTTAATTTTTATCTGATAAATCTCAAGAAACTGACACCAAGAGGAACAAAGTCACAAAGTGATTAAAGTTTTTACAAAAATCAATTTTGTCTCTTGTTGTTTGTGGTAAATACCTCAAATCATAGAAAGGTTCTATTCCTCTAAAGCAGAAACACTGATGTAGTAACCTATGTTTCTGACCAACCTTACCTATGATGCAAACAGAAAAAAAAAGAAAAAAAAACACTTTCCAAAAATTCTGTCCTCATTAAAACATTAGTATTGACGGTGATACATAATTAAAACTTTAAATGTTCCTCATTATTATTGGATTTTATTAAATATCAGTGTAAATCATTAAGTCTTATTAAAAACAGAACTGTCTGAATGGTTTGAATGGATCATGTAGTCTCATCAAAACATTTACCACAGATTTCACAATAAAACAGATTTTACCTGTGTGAGTGTTTGTGTGCATTTCTAGTTTTGAACCGTCTCCATTGCCTCTGTTATCTTTGGTTTGTGGACTTCTCCGATTTAGTTTAAACTCTTCATCCCTGCCTGATTCTGCATCTTTTCTGCTTCCTTCCTGTTCTTGGATCTCAGCATCGGGAAACATTGAAAATAGGAGTTGGTCACAGTTTGGTTTTGGTTCATTGTGGTCTTGATCCTCATAAGTAGGAGTCACAAAAGAGGTCAGTTGCAGTACAAGCTGCTCTTTATTTTGACTGATGCTGAATTCCTGTTGTTCAAGAATCTGCAAAGGCTCTGGGTCATCTTGCTGCACTTTCATCTGTGAAGGTTCTGGCCCCTCCTGTAAAGCTTCTGGTTCTTCCTGCTCCAAACTGGAGGCCCTCTCCGGGTTACAGAGCTGCTGGTCAGTCAGACCCTCTTCATCTTTCCAGACATAATGCAGTGGGAGTTCTGGACGGAAAAACAGATCCAAGATAAGAAATAAATGCTCATTAAAGTCTGGTTTGAGATGTTTTTCTGGAGCATGTTTGCCATATTGCTTAAATGCTATTCACATGTCAATAGCAATCCATTCACTGCCCAGCCAAAAAAAAGTCCCCACCCCAAAAAAGATCACACATTCTAATATTTCGTTGGACCACCTTTAGCTTTGATTACATCATGCAATCGCTGTGGCATAATTTTGATAAGCTTCTGTATTGTAACAAGGTTTATTTTCATCCAGTGTTGCATTAATGTTTCACCAATATCTTGCATTGATGATGTGAAGAGTCTGACCTCTGCACAAAGCTTTCTCCAGCACATCCCAAAGATTCTCAATGGGGTTTAGGTATGGACTCTGTGGTGGCAAATCCATGTATGAAAAATATGTCTCATGCTCCCTGAACCCCTCTTTCACTAAGTGAGCCCAATGAATCCTGGCATTGTCATCTTGGAATATGTCCGTGTCATCAGGGAATAACCTGGTCATTCAGGTAGTTAGCTGACCTCAATCTTGGCACACATCCTGTTGTTGAACCTAGACCTGACCAACTGCAGCAACCCCAGATCATAACACTGCCCCCACAGGCTTGTACAGTAGGCACTAGGCAATTCATCTGCCTCTCTTCTTACCCCGATGCACCATCACTCTGGATCAGGGTCCATCTGGACTCAGACCAGTTTTTAATAATGTGTTGGACAGTTCTTAACCCAGTTTTAGTTGTTTCTACAATCTCCTTAGATGTTTTCTCTGCTTGGTGCCAACGATCTGACCCTTCTCACACAGACTAACATCTTTTCCACGACCACCAGACGTATCTTTACATGGTTGTTTATGAAATGAGAAGCAGCTCATTGCACCAGTTGGGGTTAAATAACTTGTTGTTAGTTGAAAGATAATCACCCATGCAGTAATTTTCCAATAGGAGGCTCGTACCTCCTATTATAGAACAGGAAACTGCATTTATAAAATTAAAAGTTAGTAGAAAAACTTTCTGTAAATTCTTTCAAAATAAAATGCTACAGTGTTAGCAAAAAAAGGTCTCGTCTAACAATCTATCTCTTTTCATTTAGCTAAAAACACTATTTAAATTGTAATTATGTAACAGTGTTAAACACAATTGTTGTGTGTGGTGGTGAACTGGCCAAGAGCACCGAGATGTAAAAGTTTCCTGTTTTATTAAACTTAACTGGATGGAAACATGATAACTCAATCCGTTAATGTCTTTTTCGAGATCAAGGATTTCCTTTGGTGGACCAAAATTGTTACTACACTGCAGGGTTCATAAAGCTAAATATGACACTAGTCATCAGCACTTCCGGTAGATACCACAAAAATAAAATATGGGATTTAAATTAGCATTAACAGCATAGTCGCTAAATATTGGGAAAGCCAGAACATATTCACTTCGACAAACTACGTAACATTTAAAACTTAATAAATCTATTTTATTCATCTGTGTTCAACAAGACTATTTCAACGAACTAAAGCAGGACCCATTAGCAGCTAGCAACAGAACAAACATATCAGATCATACGCCCTCTGACAGCCACAGATCTAAACTAAATCCAAACTAGATAAATTTCTTAAGAGTAAGATTCCTAACTAAGTTATTAATAGGTAATATAAATTAATGATATTTAGTTTAAAAAAAGTTTCATTTTAAGTTTGTAGAATTTTTTCCCCTTTATGTTGTAGCGACATGAATGGCCTCATTTGTGAGCCAAAGGTCACACTTCCTCAGATTTTCAGATTTCAGATTCAGATTTCAGATTTATTGGCCAAGTAAAAGTACATTTACAAGGAATTTGTCTTCGGTAGATGGTCGCTCTCTAAAACATACAACAACCACAATAAATGAGAATAAAAATACCTAAAAACACATAAGAACATGTATACCCACACACATGTTCATTTAAACACACACATATATACATATATATATACCCACACACACACACGCACGCACGCACGCACACACACACACACACACACACATATCCATAAGCATACAGAATAAGTATTAAAAACTATAATAAAAGGATGGTAAAATAATCTACAGACTCAGGAGAGAAATGGCTGAAGGAAAGAAACTGTTCTTGTGTCTGGTAGTTTTTGTGTACAGTGATCTATAGCATCTGCCAGATGGGAGGAGATGGAAGAGAGTAGATGCAAGATGTGTGGCATCTTGGACAATATTCACTGCCTTTTTCCTGGTCCTGCTGATGTACAGTTCCTGGACAGAGGGCAGTTGGGCACCAATGATTTTTCCTGCTGTTTTAATAATACGCTGTAGTCTGCATTTGTCCATTTTTGTGGCTGACCCAAACCAGACAGTGATGGATGAGCAAAGTATGGATTCGACTGCAGCAGTATAGAAGATGATCAGCAGCTCTTGTGGTAGGCCGTACTTCCTTAGTTGCCATAAGAAATACATCCTCTGCTGAGCCTTTTTGACGATGGAGTTGATGTTTGTTTCCCACTTCAGATCCCTGGAAATGATAGTTCCCAAGAACTTGAATGAGTCCACCATTGACACGGGGCTGTTGGATATTGTGAGGGGGGCAGCACTGTGGGAAGCTTCCTAAAATCCACGACCATCTCCACAGTCTTAAGGGTGTTAAGCTCAAGATTGTGCTGACTACACCAGACCACCAGCCTCTCAATTTCTCGCTGATAAGCAGACTCATCCCCATCCTGGATGAGCCCAATGACAGTGGTGTCATCTGCAAATTTCAGGATTTTTACAGATGAGTCATTAGAGGTGCAGTCATTGGTGTACAATGAAAAGAGCAGTGGAGAAAGGACGCACCCCTGTGGTGTACCGGTGCTGATCAACCTTGTGCCAGACGTAACATTGTTCAACCGCACATGCTGGCTCCTATTTGTCAGGAAGCTGGAAATCCACTGACACATAGCAGGGGAAACAGTGAGCTGAGAAAGCTTTGAGGTGAGGATTTCTGGTATAACGGTGTTAAAAGCAGAGCTAAAATCCACAAACAATATCCTTGCGTAGGTCCTTGGTTGATCAAGATGTTCCAGGATGAAGTGCAGCCCCATGTTAATTGCATCATCCACTGACCTGTTTGCCCTATAGGCAAACTGCAGGGGATCATATATATATATACATATATATTGAATATATATAATATATAGAATATATAATATAATATATTGAAAAATTATCGTCATCGCGTTAACAGGATGTGCGATAGGCCCATCGCAAAGCACGTCAAAAACGGCGATAAATGTTTGGTTCAAACATTTCCGTCCGTGTCATACATCAGTTTTTTGTAAACCAGCTCTGTTTTTTATGTGGAAGTATTATTTGACCAATCAAATTTAGCCCTTCTGATATGTGGCCAATCAGATGGGTCCGTTCACCTAATACGCCCGCCCCCTACGTAGACCCTTACCCCAAAAATTCCACCATCTCCACTCTGCTCCGCCCCCGCTTTCCGCTGCCGCTTGCTTCCCTTGTTCGTCATGCTGGCTCAGATTAACGAACGCACTTTGTGCTGAGGTTTCTGGAATCAGCGCTGCTTTCAAACGTGAACGTGAGTCCGCTCGGTGTCGTTAAGCAGCTGATAATAACCGGGCTGACTCCGACAAAGGCCGGTGAACCAACCCACCTACCTCCATGTCGCTAGTGCTCCACCGGGTGGTGACGTTAGCCCAAGGCTACGGTTAGCTTCCAGCTAAAAGGCTACAGCACTCTCCTCCCAGTCCCACCCTGCTAAAGAGGGCCTGGAAAAGTTCCCCCACATATCAAAGTGATTTTTCATTTATGAGCTTTTATAACCTTGTCAATCAGGATAGTTGATTTGCTGCTGCACATAAACTGTCAGTCAGAAGCTCTGCTAGCCGGTTATCTTAAGAGGAGCTAGTTCAATTTGTTAGCTTGTTATCAGAATCATAGTTGCAGTTTCAACATCTGAGCTGCTTTTTAAGATCTAGGTAAACTTGTTCAATTTGGGGTTAAAAACAAATGTTTTCACATATTTTCCATGTAGTTTTTTTTTGCCAGTTCCTCTTCTGAAAATTGTTTTTCAATTGCCAATTGTTTTTCTCTTTCCCTCAGAAAATCTTAATATTCTCCTAGTTTGGCCCAGCACAGTTCACTTCCCAATTACAGCAACAGCCTTATATCATAACCACATAAGTGGAGAAAATGTTCAGTAGCAATGAGAGAATTTGCTGTTGCATTTAAGTGATGTTAACTATTATTTAACATTTAAACTTATTTTCTGATTTTTTTTATTTATTCAGAAAACCCTGGTAAGGGATGTTTTTCTGTATTTGGAGCATCAGAAAAAGTTTTATGGTGGAGGTGATGTTTTAAAGTCACTGAGAAACTGCATGCATGCAGTTTGTTGTTTTGCTGCTAATACAGTAGCAGGTGCAGCTGCATATTTTTGCAATAAAAATGGTATGTTGTAATGGAATTCATGCATTAGTTTTTGTTTGCTTTGAACCCAGAGCAGACGTCAGACGACATCAACACGGCATACTTTAGTATTTGGTTATTTATCGTGAGTAATATCGATATCGCAATATTAAGCACTGTTATCGAATATCGCAGGTTGACCTAATATCGTGCAGCCCTACTACAGATTATCCATTACAGGAGACGCAAAGTCTGCTGTAAACCATCTTTAATCTGCCTTCCCATTTCTTGACTTCTTTTGCCTCCACAGCAAGACAAGGATTTCATCACGTTCCAGAAGAATCATTTATAATAAACTCTTTTAATGTTAAATCACCAAAGGTTCATTATAAATGTATTTAATTACTGAAATGAATTTTTATTCTGTGGTTAATAATTATTTATGATAATCAGTAATGTTTAATCATGACAAGTGTATTATTTGCATCCTCACACATAGTCTCCATGTTAAATGGTAACCTTGCACTTGCATAACCTTTTGTCACATGACAACCCAGAACTTTCTGTCTCTGAGAGGGCGTG